AAATTGTACGCGGAAAACGTGGCCAAGTGCGAGGCATTCCTGGCTGAGCTACAGCGGACCGCCGCGGACTGCGAGGCTAAAGTGGACCTGGTCCGGGCCGGCTTGGAGAGACGGGAAGCTCGATTGGGGACGTTAGAGCGGCGCTGTCGCGAGATGCTGGACCAGCAAGCATTTCAGAAGGAAAGCTCGCTGCCGGTGTTCTTTTCGCGGAAAACTTCCGACGCTCGGTCGCGAGCTCGCTCCGTGGGTTCCGCCCCCTCGTCGCCAGCGGGCTCCGCAGCGGCGGCGCCGCCTAGTCGGTGTCCATCGGAAGACGAGATTCAGACTCGGCTGGAAGCCGTCAACGAGAGACTGCGAGCGCAGCAAGCCAGTGCGGAGGGGCGCGGCAGGCAAGCCGTTCGAATGGTGGCCCAGGCGCAGAGGACGGCGTTGAAGGCCCGCAATTGTTCCGTGGAGCCTGCACTCCTCTTGCGTGTGGAGGCGGCGCGTGCTCAAGCGGCCAGAAGGAGACATCGCTCGTCCGACGTCAGAACCATGGACTCCTGAATGCTCGAGTGCACCTCGCCGTGCTTTGTTCCCGGACTTTTACAGGCAAGGCCTCCGTTTCACGGTGCAAGGCAGAAGAAGAGATGCAGCTGGACTTCTGCCGCGTTTGTATCGGCTTCGCAAGAGCTGGAAGCCTCGAATCCCTCCAGGTGCGTTTGCCAGCGAAGATTGCTTCGTGCAAGTTCCTCGGTCGGACATGGTCGGACGTCGAGATTCGCAAGAGGCTGGAAGAGAGAGAGAGAGAGAGAGAGAGAGAGAGAGAGAGAGAGAGAGAGAGAGAGAGAGAGAGAGAGAGAGAGAGAGAGAGAGAGAGAGAGAGAGAGAGAGAGAGAGAGAGACCTCGAGCTGCGTGTGGAGAGAGAGAGAGACCTCGAGCTGCGTGTGGAATTCCGCAGGTTGACCCGGCCCGTTCTTCCAGAAACAAGCTGTTGCTGTCGGTACCTTGTTGCGACAGACGGACTGGCCGGTGTTTGAGCTAGGTGTCCTACACACGACCTGGGCAGGAGTCGCAGCACTGCTGCACCCATCGCAAGGTCTCGGCTCTCTAGCCAGACCAAGCCGAGTTCGCCAAAATGAATTACTTGGTCACTCAGCGAGCACAGGTAAAGCACCTGCGGTACATACTACTTCGGCGACCAACAAGCCTTTCGGGTAGCAGCATTATCCATTATGCCAAGGAGGCGAGGCGGTTCGCCTCCGCCGCCGCCGCTGCCGAATCGGCAGCGGCGCCACATTGCTGGCAGTAGCACGCCCAGCTCGGCGAGAAGCAGCCCAGCGACGTCGCCGAACCGTGGTTCTTCCGATCGATCGGGCTCGACCCGATTCGCGCCCTCCAGACGCCGTGCGGCCAGGGGGGACATCAACGGCCACGTTCTGTCCGGATGGCATAACGAGGTCGGGAGGGAAGCCCGGCCGCTATCGGCGCGGGAACGTCCCATATTGATCGACCGTCCCCTGCAACTTTTTGGCGTTCCCGAGCAGCCACCGTATGCAGGTGGGCAACCCTGGTGGCCGGCGCGATATATCCGCGCTGAGTACTGTCACATCGACCAACAGTTGGCTGCGTGGACAATTCACAAATTCGTGTCCCAACGCTTCTTGTGGTTGCGTGCCACGCACGACTTCTTGTCTGCGGATGGCCTCCGCAATTTTCGCTCCTCTTGCCGTCGCGCCTACAGATACTGGGTCATGAGCGAGCCAGAACTGGTGAGGAGATGGTTGCGACACTGCCTCAGGACGTACGTGCACACCGACGTGAATCTCTGGTGGGTTAAAAACATGGAAAAGCGGCACAGCTTTCTGGTGCTCCAGGACAACCTGTGGGAGGAGGCACAGGAGTACGGGCCGGACTTCGCTCAATACGTCATCCCGGCGTGTCGCCGATGCTATTTTCACCGGAACGAGCACTGGTCCCTGACCCGTCCGACCAACACAATTGGGTATTGTCCCGGAACGCGCGGTCGCCGCGTGCTTCTCCCGGACACGGAACGTGAGCCGGACACAGATCCCGACAGTGTGGACGAAAGAGATGAATGGCCGCAGTTAGTGAAGGATCAAAAACTCTGCAGAGGCTCTTGGCTCCCCGAGGTCAGTATCTCTAACTTATTCGACAGACAATCTCGCAGCTCCCTGGACTGGGAGCTGCGAGAGAGCAGCCGAAGCGAAAACCTTGCTTGGGTCGGCTGGCAAGGCCCGGCCCCGTGGGATGAAGAATACAAAAGAGGCTGGAAGAGAGACACCTCGCACCTTCCCGGCAGAGGAAATCTGCATATGCGGCACAGCTGTTCCTGAAAAGGAAGCTTTCTTGGTTGCTGCAGTGTCACAAGGGACGTACTGGCCTGTCCGCGAAGTAGGTGCCCAGCGTCGTGGACCGAGAGGGCTGGAAAAAAATGTCCTTGGGTTCGGCATCGTAGTGCTGCTTCGATCACGACAAAGCTCCCGGAGTGTGACAGCGAACAACCAACTTGCTCCGCTCCTGCGGCTTGTGCTGTCTGAGGCGACAACGACCGCATGCCCCGCAGCCGGGCCGACCTAGGCTCTCGTCCGGGCGGGCGGCGAGTCAGTCGGAGATATTTCTTACGGTGTTCCTAGGATTTGCAAGACGGCTTCCTGACGCAGACGCGGACCCCTTCAAGGAGCTTCCGTTCTGCGGTCCGCGCCTTATTCGAGAGACGTGGTTGCCTGTCCGCGACTTAGACGTGCTACCCATCACCTTGCCGGGAACTGCAATTCTACTGCGCCCGTCGCAGGGTCTCGGCTCCATGGCCAGGCCAAGCCGAGCTAGTATGTGAAAGGAGAAATAGCTTCGTAGATCACCGAGCACTTGCCGAGAAGTGTAGGGAACTGGAACCTGAAAGAATCCTTTGGTAGCAGCTCATTTGTTGATGGGGCCAGTTAGTAGCACCAGTGCCAGGGGGCTGGACAGTTTTGCGCACGGCAACATTCACCATGCCAAGGGGCCGTCGCCGGAGCAGTTCGTCCTTGACGCCGCCTCCACAGTGGCGTCAATATTCCAGAAGCAGAACACCCGTGAATGGTTACGTTTTGTCCGGCTGGGAGGACGAGGGCACGAGACGAGTCGTGGAAACCCAGCAGCCATGCTCGCCGCGGAAGCGACCCATTTTGATCGATCATGTGCTGAATACTGTTTTTCGTCGTCCCACTGGGAGGCCGCAGCTCCCGTGGCAACCAGTGCGACGGCGAATCACCCGCCTTGACCGCCATGACATGAACCCACAAAAAGGTGCAACGTTCCTACAGTATCTGGTGGATTTGAATCATGGTCGCTTTTGGCTTCACACGACTCACGAGCTGCTGACCGTGGTCTGCCTTTGCAATTTTCGGACAACTTGCCGTCGTGCTCGCAGATGCTGGGTCATGTGTCAACCGGAGCTGGTCAGGAGATGGTTGCGGCACTGCCTCAAGACATTGGTTCATACTCACCAAAATTACGATTATGTTCGGCGCCTGGAAACGGACCACGGCTACAGCGTGATCCCGGGCACTGTCGTCCCGGCAAGTCGTCGCCACCCAATAGACGCAGATAGTCAGAATCCTAACTATTTTAGAAATCTAGGAAATAGTTAAGAATCTAGGAAATAGTTAAAACATGTTGGTGCTAGAAATCTAACTATTTAGTTAGAATGCTAGGAATGTTATTTCCTAGAATTCTATATATTTCTAGAAAATAGTTAAACCGAAAATAGTTAGAATTCTTGCATTTTCACATAGTCAACATCCTAGGAAATAGTTAGAATTCTGGGCCCCATGAAGCTAACTATTTCCTAGAATTCTATCTATTTCCCACACCGGCGCAAGTCGAAGTTTCGACTGGCTGCCCCTTGAAACTTCGACCAAACTTCGGCTGTATTTGGGGGGTCTTGTAATCGCCGCATAAGACCTCATGTGTTTTTTCGTTCATTTTGGATTGTATATCATAGTTCCCCAAGCAAGCCTAGAAAACACATGCCAGCAGAGAGAGAGAGAGAGAGAGAGAGAGAGAGAGAGTTGTAACCACCACACACAACACTCCCAGCGACAACTCCACTTGACAAGTTCTCATACAGATTCATGATATAACTTCCCACAAGGCATGTGTTTCCAGCGAGCAGTCGTTTTCTACAGTGTTTCAAGAATGTTTTTGTTGGAAGTACCCTAGGACTTCGAGTGTTTGAGAGCAACTTCAAAAGTACCTTGAGAGTAGCTTGTGAGAATATCTTGATAGATAGTACCTTGAGCAGATCTTGAGAATATCTTAATTGAGAGTACCTTGAGAATACCTTGAGAGTAGCTTGAGAGTACCTTGAGAGTACCTGGAGAGTACCTGGAGAGTACCTTGAGAGTACCTTGTGAGAGTAGCTTGGGAGCACCTTGAGAATACTTTGAGAGTACCTGGAGAGTACCTTGAGAGTACCTTGTGAGAGTAGCTTGGGAGCACCTTGAGAATACTTTGAGAGTACCTTGAGAGTTTCTTGAGAGTATACCTGTTGAGAGTACCTATTGAGAATACCTTGAAAGTACCCAGACTGTTCGAGGTGCCTGTGGACTGTTGTCATCGGCATCGTATCCAAAAGGCAGGGCTTGGGGCTTTCTGGTTTGTGCATAGAACAAACATTATACTAGTTTTCAGAGCAGACCAGGTGCAAATACCTGTGTGCAGTGTGCAGGTTCTGTGTGCTTGCTCTGTGTACCCCTGTAGGCTAGTTGCATTCTGGCCCCCTCCATGTCTGCAGGTCTATGGCCTATGGTGCTTTCCAGCTGGAGCGAAGAGGCCTACAGTCGTTCTGTGGGTGTCAGTTTTGTGCAGTTGGCAGTGTACCTGAGACAGTGCACCTGGAGACTGAGTTGCACCTGCTGTTGTGCATGTGCGGCTTGTTTTCTGTTCGAATACCGCGAGAGGGAAATGTTGTTGTTGGATGAGGGCTAAAGTGCTCCCAAGCTTTTGTGTTCCAGTGATGGCATTAAAGAATGCTCGTGGCCGGTTGGTGGCGGACCCCGCCATCGGAGTTAGTGACCTGATGGGCCCAATCAGGGAGTTCATGAAAGGTGGGCCAGGTCGCAACCTCCAGGCGGCTTTGCAAATTCCCGTCGGTACATCCTGGAAAACGGCAGTGAATGTTGAATGGATGGCTCACTTGTCACCACTTTACATGGGCTATGCTGCCGTAGCTGCCAACACCATCCTTCCAGGCAAGAAGCACAAGAAAGCTTTAGAAGAGATCCACTCCAAAACACCAGTGCATGACAGCAAGAAAGCAGACAAGGGTGTCATTGATTATTTGGATGAGATGATCAGAATCGGGTTCTCGCATTTCCGTGCTCTAGCCCAAAGCCCCGAAGCAAGGAGCCGAGCATTTCGCAAAGCCAGCCCGAGCCAAGTGGAGCAGATCGATGGCGTCCTGAAGCTTCTACAGGTTGGCGACAGCAGCGAGGCTGTGGATGGTGCCACCCCCTCGCCGAAGCCTGTCGCAGATAGGCCCACCGAAGCTACACGTGGTTTGCCCATGAGTGCCGAGAACGAAGCTGCACGTGATTTGCCAAAGAGTGCCGAGAAGGCCGAGCCAGATTCTTCGTTTCCGAAAAACATGGACGAAGCATCGAAGTTGTTCCAGCAGATTCTGGCACAGAGCGATGATGATGATGATGAGCATGGGCCCGAAAAGGCCACAAGCTCGACAGATCCGAGAACCCCTCCTCCGAAGCTGAGGCGGGGAGGCAAGCTCAGTCCCGGTGATTTCGACAAGCTTTTGGAGGCGGGTGATGTGGACGATGATGAGCAAGCCTCTTTGAGATCGGCTGCAGAGGTCATCCCGATCGGCCTTAACGGAGAGGTCCAGCTCACCATCTTCAAGAAGAATGGTGGCAAGAGCTCCAAGGACAAGGTGAGCAAAGCCGAGGGCAAGAAGAAGACCAAGAAAGCCAAGAAAAAGCCAAGCGCCCAGGACAGCACCAGCAAGGCGAAGAATCAGAAAGTGAAGGCCACGAAAGCACAGAAAGAGAAGAAAGCCCAGAAAGACAAGAAAGCCCAGAAAGAGACGAAGGCTCCGAAGGCCCCGGATGACAATGAGGTCAAGCCCGCCGAGCCCAACGATGTACAGGAAGAGGAGAAGCCGCCGGCGAAGCGACTTCGTGGCAAGACGAGCTTGACTCCATCCGAGAAGCCCGATGATGAGCCCGAAGGCCAGGATGACACAGGGGGCGAGGTGTTGACGAGGTCAAAGAAGAGACACCGAGCCGTTTCCAAGGCATATCACATTGCATTCACGGCGAACAAGCATTTGGGCAAGGACCAGGCCAAGATTGAGGCCCGGAAGGCACACCAGCTGGAGGGCGAGAGGTTTGATGCGGCAAACCCACGTGTATGATGGTGGCACAAGCATCGGGTATCAGTTTTGCTGGCGAAGCAAAGGGCATCAGATGTGAAAATGGTCTATGGGAAGTGTGTGTGTGAGTGTGTGTGCTTTTGGTCTTGAGGTTAAAACCCTAACCATAACCTTTAACCCTTAACTAATGGTGTTTGTGAAATGTATTTGTTTGGTGTTGAGATTAAAGTCCTAGCCTTTAACCCTCAACCAAAGGTCTTTATGAAGTGTGTCACTGTGTTGGTGTGGTCTTGAGGTTAAAACCCGAACCCTGAAACCCGTGACCTTTCGGTGTAAGCAAATTTTCAAGGACGGGTGTTGTGGTTATTTCCTTACAGGGTGCTTCTGCTTGCATGTTCACATGAAACACACACACACAGAGTGTACTTTGACTGTTTTGCATGTGGGAATGATACCAGCCTTGAGTGTATACCTTGTGAGAGCCACAGCACTCACCGACAGTGTACCTTGAGATTTTTGCATGTAAGAATGATACCAGCCTTGAGTGTATACCTTGAGTGCCATTCCCCCGCACCGAGAGTGTACCTTGAGAGTGTTGCATGTGGGACTGATACCCGAGAGTGTACCTTGAGAGTGTTGCAAAGGGGAATGATACCAGCTTCGAGTGTATGCCATGTGTGATTGCCATAGCACAGGTTTTCACGGTGAGGGTTTGTGAAAACATACCACACGAAGCCCTGCGATGTTACAAACCCCAAGAGCCTATAAACATCAATCCCGCAACCGAAGCCGAAGCCCTGAACCTTAAAGAGCTCTCCCACACTTTGAGCCCCCCCAAAATCCGAAAGTCAAGCCGAACCCTCGACCAACAAGAACCCTGGTACACTTTAAACACTCCTTTGTCCATGCACCTAGACCCATCACAACACCCCCGTACCGTGTAGACGAGCCCACCAAACCGAAGCCAAACTGTTTGTAACGTGTTTCTATCGAAGCCCTTTCTGATTCTCTTCAGGCCGGACATCAAGCCTGCCGGAGATCAAGCTGTGGCTGGAGTGGAGGCCTTCTTGTGTGGGGTGTGGTGTGCACCCTGTATAAACACCCTTAACCGATATAAGCCCTAGCCCTATAAACCCTAAACTTCCTTAAGCCTTAAACCCGAAACCCTAGGCGCTTTGGACACTCTAAATCACCAACAAGACACAACAACAATCACTGCATACCCGATGTATAATTCCCGATCCCTTAAATCAGAAAGCCTCTCTGTGTGTGTTCTCAAAGTACAGCAGCGAGCTGTTATGTTCGGTTGTTGCATGTACATCACAAGAAGCACCATCCAAGGGTATAATAAATCAGCCTTTGAGGCATGTGACATGTGAACAATACACAGAGAGTTCTTCGGCTTATGTGTTGAACCCTGTATATAGGCCCCACCTAGACTTCAGCTTCGGCCTCAGCTTTCGTGTACGTAGCTTCAGGTACTTTGGAGGTTTTTAGTTTGTGGCCCAGTGCTATATATGCCATGGAAAAAAGCCGGTGTTACCTCGGCAACCTCTACTTCCAGGTTTCCGATTCTTCCATACGAAGTGTGGTGCAAAGTTGTGGCTTCCATGTCAACCACATACAGATCGTGAGGAAAGGGTCTTGGCATGGAGGCAACCTATGTGCTCAGCCTTCGTCACTTTGGACAACGACTCTGAGGTGCAGCGACTGGCCCGGATGCTGAATGGCTGGCCGTGCGAGATGCTTTCACCTACTCTGTTGAAAGTTGAAAAGGCTGTGCCGAGAATGCGGTGGCTGAACCAGAGCCCTCGTTTGGCGGCCGCTTTTGCCGAAGAGGAAGCAAAGACGGATGAGTACCAGACAACACCTGGGCTGGAGGAGCCGGAGCCGACAAAGGAGGAGGAATGGCCCATGGAGACGGAGCCCAAAGATGAGCAGGAACAGCCAGCGGAGACGGAGCCCAAAAATGAGCGGGAACAGCCAGCGGAGACGGAGCCCAAAAATGAGCAGGAGCAGGCCGTGCAGGAAGATGTTCCAACGAGCCCGGCCGTAGAGGAGACTCCAACGACCCCGGCTCCCAGGAGTTCGGGGTCATCTTCGAGGTCTGCCAGTTCCAAGGCGAAATCGAGGTCACGTGCGAAGCCGAGGGTGAAATCGAGGTCCAGAAGTGCGAAGCCGAGGCCGAAATCGAGCTCCAGACGTTCGAGATCGAGGCGGAAATCGAGTTCGACTTCAAGCTCTGGGGGCCGAAAGAAGAGGGCGAAATCGGCTGGCCGGAAGAGTCGGACCGGGAGCAGCCGATCGTAGCTGTGTGAGCAGAGTAGATTGCAGTTACTGTGTGCTTCGGGCTTCGTGGTGTAGCGACCTGACCCAAGACAATATGTACCCCCACATACTCAATAGCCACGAGTTGAAGTGCTGAAGCCGAGGGAGAATAACAAGAGCATGGCTGTCCGTGTTGCTGAGAGCATCGTCTTACCATCATGCCATGTAGGAATTAGGGGTGGATCTGCAGTGCTGTGGAACAAAATCAAGCACAGTACTGTGCATCCAGATCATGTGCCCCAGCAACACATTTCGGCAGCCCCTATGAGACTTGCCGACAGGTTGTGGAGCTGCGACCATTGTACCATGTTACCATGTTGCTTACCGTACCTTCGTTGGTGTACCTGTGTGGCAAACCTGGAGTCGCTTTTGAATCTTGGATGTTCGACTCTACCGGCAAAACAGAGCTATACCGGTGAGAGAGCGGCTTCGAGGGTTGACAAAAGCCATTAGTTGATTCGGCTGCAGCTATTGTATGAGGGGCAAGATTCGGGTTTGACAAGCCCGGTTTTTGGGTCCGGGTCTCAGGTCCTTGATATCCGCTTACAACCAAAAGGTTTCAGGCTGTATAGCTTCGGAAACTTTAAGATTCGAGGGTTTTAGGGTTTGAGGAGTCACAGATACAGGGTTAAAAATTTTAGAGATTTTGTTTGGAGCTTAAGGGCTTTAAGGCTTCAGTGGTAAAAGGTTAGAAGGGTTTAAGTTTTGGGTTCAGGTTTTGGAATCAGAAAGGGCTCGGTGAGCCTTGGGTTCCAAGCTCAAGCTTTCGATTAGTTTGGGGTTGGGACGAGAGGGATTAATGATTAAGTGCTGTTCAGGGTTTGGGGATTTGGGTGTTTAAGGCTTGAAGATGTTCGGGTTTGAAGAATGTAGGGCTTAGAGTTTGAAGAGTTCAGGAAAGGTTAGGGTTGAGGAGGGTTTAGTGTGGTCTCGCTCAAGGTACTCACCAGGTACTCTCATATCCCTCAAGGTACTCTTATCTCCCAAAAGGTATGCTTTCACTCATGCTTGGTGGCTTCTTGTTGATTTTTTCGCTAAAGGTACATAAGGTCTCGCTGGTCCATGGTGGTTTAATCTCCCTCAAGATTTATTGTTGTTATACTTGTTAAGCCACCAAAGCCCTCAAGCTCGTAACCGCCTAATAGTCCAACCTTCAAGGTTTTCAGGCCTGTGGGACCATAGAAACCCACGAGCCGGCACAATCCAGGCCTTCCCTGAACCCCCAAGCCCGGACCCCAAGCCCTAAAGCTAAGCTTCATCAATTCCAGGATGTGCAAAGCCCCAAGCCCAAACCCTGATAGGGAGAAAAAAGCGCCAAACCCCCAAGCCCGGACCCCCAACCCCTAAAGGCCCTAAAGTTAGGGTTATTCCAGGAATTGCAAACTCGCAACCCAGAGCCCCAAGCCTTAAAGCACCAAACTCTCAAGCCCGGACCCCGAAACCCTAAAGTTAAGCTGCATCGATGGCAGGTTGCGGTTTGCTGGTGGAGGCTGGAAGGGAACACTCTCAAGCCCAAACTGCAAAGCTTTAAAGCACCAAATCCCCAATCCTTAAAGTTAAGTTTCACCAATCCCAAGAAGTGGAATCCCACAAGCCCAAACCCAGAAGCCTTAAAGCACCAAAGCCCCAAACCCGAAACCCTAAACCCTAAAGCTATAAGCTTCGTCGAAATAGAATCTCCCAAGCCCGAACCGCCAAGCCTTGAAGCACCAAACCCCCATGCCCGGACCCCCCAATCCCTAAAGTCAAGCAAGCCCACAAGAAGTGGAATCTTCATGGCCCAAAGCACCAAGCCTTAAAGCACCAAACCCGCAAGCCCGGCCCCTCAACTCTTACAGTAAACCCCATAAAGTTGGAAACCGGATTAAGGACAGATAGTGCTCTGGTTCCCTATACATTATTCTTGGGGATTGAGGCTATGGGGTTTCCAACCTTTGGGCTTCTACTGTAAAGTTATGAATCCCAAGAAGTGGAATCTCCGAAGCCCAAAGCATCGAGCTTTAAAGAACCAAACCCCCAAGCCCGGCCCCCTAATCCTTACAGTTAAGCTTCATCAATCCCAAAGTGGCATCACCGAAGCCCAAAACATGCTGTAAAGTTATGAATCCCAAGAAGTGGAATCTCCGAAGCCCAAAGCATCGAGCTTTAAAGAACCAAACCCCCAAGCCCGGCCCCCTAATCCTTACAGTTAAGCTTCATCAATCCCAAAGTGGCATCACCGAAGCCCAAAACACGAAGCCTTAAAGAGCACCAAACCCCCAAGCCCGGCCCCTCAATCCCTAAAGAAGGCTCCATCAATCCCAGGAAGTGGACTCTCACAAACCCAAACCCCACGATCCTTAAAGCAACAAACCCCCCAGCCCGAAACCATATCTCCTTAAAGTCGGCAAGAAACACCACCCCCCAAAACACCACCCGCGAGCACACCGTCCCAGGATTTCTCGTAGCACGGAACCGAGAGACAACCGAAGTTTAGTCGAAGTTTCGACCAAATTTCGACCCACTATGGTCGAAGTTTGGTCGAAACTTCGACCCCCGTATCTAGAACTTAGTCGAAGTTTGGGTCGAAGTTTGCTGTTGCTTAAGTTACATGTTTTATCGGGAGATGCATAGCTTTCAGCAGTATCTAGCCGCAGTTTAGGTCGAAGTTTTAGGACAAACTTCGACCAAACTACGACCAAACTTCGACGAAGTTTGGTCGAAGTTTCGATCAAACTTCGACCCCCTAGATCGAAATTTGATCGAAACTTCGACCAAACTCCGGCCGTGAGTCCGGAAGCTCAGTTAGTTTACGATACCAAAATCTAGGTGTGTGGTGGTGCAACAACAACATCGTGATTCGCATTTGGGCCCCAGCTGATCCTTTTATGTGCCCGTGCCGTGCACCACTTGCACTTTGCGACTTCTCTTACGTGCTCAGTCAGGATGCCATCAATGAAGCGACCGGCAGCGGCAGCCCTGACGACCAAAGCCATGAAGAAGCCCAGCAAAGGCAAGAAGGCGACCCAGGAGGAAGGCTCCGGTGCTCTCAATGAGCAGATCCAGGGCTGGACTCAGGGTGTGGGCGGCCCTGAGGATGCCCGCGATAAGGGCAAGGGCGAGAAATGGTCGAAGATGTCCCAGCACAATCAGATCCCGGAATTCGTGATGGACCTCTACCAAAACCCTCCACCCGGAGAATCGAAGAGGGCCTTCAGGACACAGCTTATCAATAAGTTGTTTGTCAGGCGGGCCTCCGGTGCTCTGGACTTGTGCACCCAGGATGCATTATTCGTTCAAGCTAAGTCTGCTTACGAGAACAGGTACCACAAAGCCGAGATGCAGGGGTACACGAGGTTGGTGTTTTGCGGACAATTCTTCGCGAACAATGAGCAGAAAATGCAACAAGCGATCGACGAAGGAGAGGTCTACGAAGAGAAGGGGCCATGTGGCACCGTCTTCTACAACTTCAGGAAGCAGGTCAAGGGCATTTCTCGTGGTACCAAGAACGAGCACAAGATGGAGAGCAAGAAGAAGTTGAACTCGTGCGACTACGAGGAGCTTTCGGACCTGATGGAGGAGCTCAAGTGGCACTACAAGCCCTCGAAGAAGGACTGTGAGTCCATGGAGAAGGGACAGCTGCCGCCGTCAGCGATCAAGGTCATCGAAGAGGCGATCTCCGCACAGGAGAAGCTGAGCAAGCAGGCTTTGCAGCTCGCCACCAAGAGCTCGACGGATGTGCCCGAGGAGAAGCTCAAGGAGTTGAAAAAGGGCCACATGACAGCCAAGAAGCACCTGAGCACACTCCAGCACATCCTCAACTTCAAGGAGTTCGAGAATCATGAGCCGGTTTCGCAGCACGGGCTCGACAAGCTTCTGTTGCAGATTGCCCAGGACACTGCCCAGCTCAATCGAGATGTGGAGATGGCCAAAGGATCAGTGCGGTCCAAGAAGAACTAGGTCCTTGGACTTGTCATCCCAAGGCATTTTGTATGTGGGTGAGGCCCATCTCAGATTGTGCCTCTTTTGCCACAGCCGCCCGAATGTCGGCCCATATTTCCTAGCATGTTCGAGGGCCCCGGTGCCATGTGGTTATATTGAGATTATATAGGGACTATACTATACCCTAAAATAACAGTTATAAAGGTTACCTACTCTACTACTAGGTTTGTGAGGTCAGGTTTCATCCTTCAAGCCTATGTGAAGTGTGCATGGTTTCCGGTGCGGGCCATAGTCGTGCAGCAGGGTATGTGTCCGAGATGACATTCAGTCGCGGTGGCTGTGCGAGTTCCTCTCAGCTGTGTGCAGAATCGCACACACACGATGTGTCAGCATATCTGTCGTCTGTGCGAAAAATGGTTCGGGTCAGGACTGCTGCAAAGTACCTGGAGAGTATACACACCTTGAGAGTTTCATACCTGGGGAGTTTCATACCTGGAGAGTCCTTCACAATACCTGAGAGAGTCACACCAATAGAGATTCGGCCGGCCCTCGAAACCCCACAACATCTCTAAACTCCACCGACAATATATATATATATATATCACCAACCCAATACCCACAAAATCCTAATACTTCCAACCCCCAAACCCATACCTAAACCCTCAATCTTACACTGAATCTTTCCCACTCCCTATATGTAAAACCCATACCGCTATACATTCTAAACCCCGAACCCTATAGGTCACTTAAAGTTCAGAAGCCCCTCGAAACTCCAAAGATTGAAGCCCTATCTGCCCTCACAAAAGCGCCGCAGGCTGTGGCAGTGGCCACCGTGGCAGCAAACAGAGGCCACACTCAGGAAGTTCGCAAAAACTTACAGGGTTCAAGATGGGCTTTAGGGGTGTCAAACCAAGACCTTGAACATTATGCCGCAACGACCCGACACCCCCCCCAACCCTGCAAAACCCGTCTACCCGAATCTCCACAACTCGGAACCCACAGTCATGCAACTTCTTCAACAATTAACAAGCCAGACTTTGCAAGAAAGGGCTGTATCAGTCCCAAAGAGCCCTGGACTCTAGACCGTAACATTGCATTTTGCTGTGGGCTTTTTGACCTTCACCGACCCTGAGTATAACTATGCCCTAAGATCATGCAACCACCCGACACTCATGTTCAAACCCAAACCCTGAAACCCTCAACTCCCAACAACCTCTATCGGTCTGTTCAGACTTCCCTGAGTATAACTAGGCCCTAAGACCATGCAACCACCCCACACACATGTTCAAACCCAAACCCTGAAACCCTGAACCGCCAACAACCTCTATCGGTCTGTTCAGACTTCGAAAACAATATCCTGCAATTCTTCATTGAGGGAAAGACGGGATATCATAAGTTTTCCATAAGCTAAAGCCTCCTTTGTATCAGGCATTTTGTGCTTGGGGCTCAGGGACTTTAAGGCTTCAGTGGGTAAAGGTTTCAAAGGTTTGGGGTTTAGGTTTTAGCCCTTAATCTTTAATACTCGAAAGCTTCAGCTTCAAACCTCAAACTCACCAAACCCTTTATGATTTCATCAGGCTTTGAAGAGTTTGGGGCTTAGGCCTTGAACAGTTCGGTTTCGGAGGGCTTGGAGCTCTGGACCGGAGTGTGGGATTTAGGCTTGTTGTGGGGTTTGGGAATTCCTCGGGTGTGGTGCTTGAGGTTTCATGGCTTGATGGCTCGCTCGGTGTCTGTGGTCCTTTCCCTTTCAAGGCGAACCTAAGCGGCCTGGTCTCTTTCAAGGTACTCTTATCCCTGAAGGTATTCTTATCTCCCTCAAGGTATACTTTCACTCATGCATTGTGGTCTCTGAAGGTACCCTTATCTCCCTCAAGGTAATTTTCATATTCCTCAAGGTATACTTTCACTCATGGATGGTGGTTTCTCAAGGTACTCATATATCTCCCTCAGGGTACTCTTATATCTCCCTCAAGGTATACTTTCACTCATGCATGGTGGTCGCTCAAGGTATGTTCAAATATCCCTCAAACGTATTCTTATCCCCGGTGCAAAGTGTGTGAGGGGTTTCAAAGGTAACTTCTAAATTTCTAAGTCCTTCACAGGTCCGACTGACAAATCGTTTCACAAGCATGGCCGGTGTTAAAAGAAAAGGTGGCCAGAGGCAACGGCTGGCAAGTGCGAGGGAAGAGGAATGGCTTTTATCTGGGGCCGCAGAGGGGAGCTCCCTCGCCAAGGAACTGATCGAGAAGTTTTGCTGGGGTTCTTTCAGCCCACAGCAGGTGCAGAGTTTGGCTTTTGCTGCTGTGAAGGACCTCAAGCTTGCCAACCCCGACTTCAGTTTGCCAGACTTGGAGAAGCTGGCCTCACTGGGCGGTTCTGGACAGTACCCCTCCCGCTGTAACAGCGAGTTGCTGGGTTTCCTGGAGCCATCTGTGAAGTTGAGTCCAGCCTTCACTGCTACCATACCCTTCAAAGCTCCCTTGATGGACCAGCAGCAGGACTTCCTGCTGCCACACCAGGTTTTTGCAGACATTTATCGGGAGTATCCCGATGCTTTTGAAAAAAACCTGCTGAACAGCGAGGACGAGCTTGAACGGTTCTGGGAAGCGGCCAAAGGCAACCCACAGTACGATGATCACCCCATTCGTGAGCGAAGCAACTTCTCACGGAAGTGCATCCCAATTGGCCTTCATGGTGATGATGTCCCCATCGTGGGGATAGGCAAGGGGTGGTCATCAAAGATGAGCATCTTTAGCTGGTTTTCCATGGTTGCACTGGGCCGCAACACTCGGGACAAGATGCACTTAGTGTATGCTTGCTTCGAAAAGCTGCGAACCCGGCAAGCTGGTCGAAATACTTTGCACAGTTTCTTCCGGCTTCTTGCTTGGTCGCTCTGGTGGCTCTGGCTTGGTGTCTTTCCAGATTGCGATGTCGACGGAAAGCCGTTCTTCGCACTTTTATAGCACAAACTTTTGTTTTTTAGTTTTTTAGTTTAGGGTTTTAGGGTTTAGGGTTTTGGGTTTTTGGGTTTAGCCAGCCCCAAAACACAAGTTGCTCGAGTCTGTTTCGGTAGTGGTTTCCCGAAACCTTTTGTTTTTTGGTTTTTTAGTTTAGGGTGTTAGGGTTTAGGGTTTTGGGTTTATGGGTTTAGCCAGCCCCAAAACACAAGTTGCTCGAGTCTGTTTCGGTAGTGGTTTCCCGAAAACCCCTGTCACAAGCTGAACAACTTAACACTACTTTTGAAGAACATGCAGGTACAGGAGGGGGACTCCTGAGTTTGCCAAAGCGCGAAAACCCCTGGCCAATGGCTACTTCGCTGTGCTATGGGGTGTTCTGGGCGATCTTGATTACTTCTTTCAAGTTCTGGAGCTGCCGCACTATGCCAGAGCAACAAACTTTTGTCCTCTTTGCCGAGCCTGTGCTAGCGGCATTTATGCATGGACAGATTTCAGACCGACAGCTGCCTGGCGAACAACACAATGGACAGGTGCGGCTTGGAGAGCATGGGAGCATCGCTCTCGTTCGCCGCTTTTTAATCTGTCATATCTGACCTGCCACACGATATGCTTGGACTGGATGCATGTCAAATATCTGGGCTGCGACCAGTACTTATTTGGCAGCATTCTTGAGCTTCTGGTGTCGTGGGTCCTGGATGGTTCGGCCGACGAGAACTTGAAACGAGTCTGGGCTGCCCTGCAAGAGGCATATAACTCGTTGAGGACTCCGGCCCAGCAGCGGTATCGCTATCTCAACCGGCTGACTATGTTCATGCGAAGCGGATATGCGAAACTGCGAGGCAAAGCATCCGAGATACGGCATCTGGGGAAGGCTTTGCAAATCGTGTGGCTCAAGTTTTACAACAAGCGATTGGAAGTTCACCGTGACATTGCCCTTATCTTGAAGCTCAACTGTGCAATGGAGTCCATCATAGAGGACAACCGCTGTGAATATGCCTTCCCGCCCGAAGATGCCACACGTTTTCGCACCTCTTGCGACGGCATGCTCCTCCTGCTTTCGAAAACTGCCAGACACTTCGCAGAGGATGGGCAGCAGTTTTTTGACCTTACAAGCAAGAACCACCTGCTGCAACACTTGGGTATATTGGCTGGCGGGATCTCGCCAAGACCCCCTGTGGATAAGCAGACTTTTTTCTTCGTTTTGGGATTTGGGTTTCGAACTCTATATAGAGTCGCAGGCACAACTTAAAGCTTAGATAAGAGCCAAAATATAATATAATGTCTTTAAGGTTTAGGAAGTTTAGGGTGTAGGTTTTTTCTTTTAACTTAGGAAGTTTAGGGTTTAGGTTATAATGTCTTTAGGGTTTAGGAAGTTTAGGGTTTAGTTTTTTCTTTTAACTTAAGAAGTTCAGGGTTTAGGTTCTTAATGTCTTTTAAGGTTTAGGAAGTTTAGGGTCTAGGTTTTTTGTTTTAGCTTAGGAAGTTTATGGTTTAGGTTTTTTTCTTTAACATGATAGCCACACACCACTGTATGCCAGGAGTCACTTGGTGCTTTGCTGGAGAAGACATGATGCAAAAAGGGCAAGAGCTTGCCCAGTCGTGTGTCCGAGGAGTGCCAGCCCAGCAGGTCATGAAGAAGATCGCCCGTAAATATCGGATCGGATTGCACAAGCGATTCTTGGAGCTGTGAGGAAAAGAGATGAACTGTTAAGTCTTTCCGCCTGCACAGCAACTTCTCAAAGCCTGTAGATTCGTAGTTTACATTCCACTCGCAGTGTATATTGAGCTTGTGCTGTCTGCTAGCCTTTTGGAGATGCTGTTGTGTTTATTGCACCAACCTGCAGATATGATTCGCTTCAACTATGTGAGACCCAACGAGGCCGACAGCCTTCACAAGCCGAGGAAAGCTCAGAAGCTCCAGTGAGTGATTGTGTCTGTTGTTGCAGGTGTCTTCTCGACTTCCTGATAGCGGACCCTGTGAAAGACCGACAAAAATACCTTGAGAGTTCGCCCCTAGAGAAGTGAAAATGTAATACCCTGAGAGCTAGACGACCTTAGCCTGCAGAGTGTGTGAAGATAGAACACCTTGTGAGAGACTGAGAAAATACCTTGAGAGACACATCACTTGTAGAGAAGTGGAAAGTATTATACCATGAGAGTTGAGTTAAACGAAACTTTGGACTGCAGTGTGAGAAGATGTAGAACACCCTGTGAGAGACTGAGAAAATACCTTGAGAGACACATCACTTGTAGAGAAGTGGAAAAGTAATACAGCATGAGAGCTGAGTTACACGAAACTTTGGGCTGCAGTGTGAGAAGATAGAACACCCTGTGAGAGACTGAGAAGATACCTTGAGAGACACATCACTTGTAGAGAAGTGGAAAAGTAATACAGCATGAGAGTTGAGTTAAACGAAACTTTGGGCTGCAGTGTGAGAAGATAGAACACCCTGTGAGAGACTAAGAAAATACCTTGAGAGACACATCACTTGTAGAGAAGTGGAAAGGTAATACAGCATGAGAGTTGAGTTACACGAAATTTTGGACTGCAGTCTGAGGGCCACAGAAGAGAACAACTGTACATGTATTTACAAGTACAAATCCCTGTATACATCTTCAAGCTTGTTTCTCATGACAGCATGACCCCGGAAAGATTTTAAGCACTGTTATGTTGTGCCAGACTTTTTAATGCATCCAGAAAGATTTGAAAATCAGACCTATGCCTGTTAAGATGTTCTGCATCCAGAAAGATCTGAAGAATTAGACCAGGAAGATCTGAAGAATTACGTTTTTGACTTGTTAAGATCTTTGATACATCCTGAAAGATCTGAAGAAGATACCTTTACCTGTTAAGATCTTCGATGCATACTGCAAGATGTGAAGAAAAGACCTGTACCTGTTAAGATCTTGGATGCATACTGACAGATGTGAAGAATGAGCCTTTTACCTCTCAAAAGATGTGAAAAAAGATAACTTCAGTTGGTAAGCTCGTGTGCATCCACAAAACTCAGAGGATCTATGTCTTTGCCTGTTGAGATGTTTCGCCACCTCTTTCGTGTTCTAAGATTACATGAACCCACCCACAAACTTCGATCAAACTTCGTCTCAAGCCGGCCCCAAACTCCGAGAGGTGTGCGCCGAAGTTTGATCGAAATTTCGATCAAACTTCGGCGCACATACCGGCTTCGAAATCCCAGAATTCTAACTATTTAGTTAGATTTCTAGGATTCAGTCAAAATACTTTTCCTAGCAATCTATATAATTCTGCGAAATAGTTAACTCATTTTCTGCGCATTATTCTAACTATTTCCGACCCTGTGTTTTCTAACTATTTCCTAGAACGCAAGTTAACTATTCCCTAGCTTTCTAACTATTAACTAATAGTTAGGATTCTGACTATCTGCGTCTATTGGGCAATACTTCCACCGGAACGAGCACTGGTCACTGACCCGCCCGACCCATCAGATTGCGTATTGTCCCGGGACGCGCGGTCGGCGCACCCTGCCTGCGGTTCGCGACCAGGAAGAGCCCGACACGGATCCTGACAGTGTGGATGAGAGAGATGGACGGCCGATCTTCGCGGAGGACCAGGAAGAGCACGGACCGGGATGGAGCAGGCCCTAGAGGAACGAGAGAACGTTCCGCTTTCGCCGACCGAGACTCAACAGCCTGCTACATCGGATGAAAAAATCCTCGATTGCAGTCCGTAATGCCCCGAGTCTGGTAAGGATCGAAGAAGTCGGTCCGCCTCTTCTGCTGTTCTCTTCCGAGACCAACGAAATTCTCGACCAGGCGGGGAAGCTACTCGTGCCTGCTTCGAACAAACGCGACCGGGACTCGCAGGCATCGGCAGGAGCTAGGCCAAGCCGAAGTCGAATGCGGCGGCAGCGCCTTCATCCGGCCGTCGAATTCCCTGCAGGTGCGGTCCGCCCACTCCGGTTCGATAAATTTCCTCGGTTGGAGCTGGACGGTTCTGCAGGGGCTGGCCCGTCCTCGGATGAATTTGGTTTTGCTCAGGAGCTCGCTGTTGGTTTGCAAACTACGGAGTTAGCTGCCCCCGACTCAGATTTAACTGTGGTTGACAGGGACACCACTTCCGAGTTTTGCATGACGAGCGCAGGGTCTCGGCTCCATGGCCAGCCCAAGCCGCAGTCCAACCGATCCGAGTCGCTGGACATGCTTCGATTCGGGGCCAGAAACCAGCGTCCAAACGGGGCGACCGTCAATGGTTACGTTTTGTCCGGCTGGGAGGAAGAGGGCAACAGACCAGTCGCGGAAACCCAGCAACCGTGCAAGCCACGGAAGCGCCCTACATTGATCGATGATGTGTTGGAAAAGAAATTACCTCCTCGTCCCGTCCGGAGGCAGCAGCTCCCGTGGCAACCGGTGCGACGGCGAATCACTCGCCTTGACCGGCATGATATGAGCCCACAAGTGGGCGCGATCTTCCTACACGATCTAGTCGACGCGCATCACGGTCGCTTTTGGCTTCACGTGACTCACGAGCTGCTCACCGTGGTCGGCCTCTGCAATTTTCGGACAACTTGCCGTCGTGCTCGCAGATGCTGGGTCATGAGTCAACCGGAGCTGGTCAGGAGATGGTTGCGGCACTGCCTCAGGACGTTGGTTCACAGTCGGAATAATATCAAGTATGTTCAGCGGCTGGAAAGACGCGACAGCTACTGTGTACTCCCGAGCTTATGGGATATAATACAAGAGAACGGGGTCTCACAGTACGATCGACATTTTGTTGAGGCAAATCGTCGCAACACCTATTTCCACCGGAACAAGCACCGGCACATGACCCCCCCCGCTTGTCCGACTCAGTAGCCTGCTGAATTGAAAAATCCTTGGTTGCAGCCGTACTGCCCCGAGTCTGGTCGGGATCGAACAAGTCGCTCCGCCTCTTCTGCTGTTCTGTTCCGAGGCCAACGAGGTTCTCGACCAGGCAGGGAAGCTACTTGTGCCTGCTTCGAACAAACGCGAACTTGGACGAGCGCAGAAGGAGGATCTTGGCCGCTTGCACATCCAGCCAGGGCGGGGAACCCAGCGGAAGCGCCGGCTCCAGTTCCGTTGGTTTCGCGAGGGGCAGGCAAGAGCGGAAGGATCGCAGGGTCTCGGCTCTCTAGCCAGACCAAGCCGATGTTGACCCGAACAAGCACAGTCTCCCGGCCGTCGAATTCCCTTCTGATAGTGGTACTCGGAACAACCTCGCGCCATGGTAGTCCCCACAACGAAATATAGCGAGTCGCCGGAGCGGCAAACTTCGGATCCTGGCCATGTCGTCCCCTCGCAGCACCTTGTGGCAATCTATATTGTTCGCAGAACATGCAGAGAGGCACAGGTGGTCTTGGTCGGAAGCATACCATCTGGATGCTGCGACATGCACGCGAGATGATCAGAAGGAGCGGTTCAAGAACATGTCTCTTGTCTTGCATCCGGACAAGGCCCGGCAGCACTTCCATCGCTTCGAGGCAGAGATTAACGTCCAAAGACGGGTGACGCACGCCTTCCAGTACATGCTCGACTTGAAAGACGAGGGTCTTCGTGCCATCGACGAACGAACGCGTCCTCGGCCGACGCGCGACGGGGACCTGCGACCGCCCGAACCACCCCCCCAAGGCGGAGGGTATGCCTGCGGAGCGTCCTCCGGAGCGTACCGCGGCGCCGCAGGGTCCGGCTCGCGCTTCCACGCCGGCGGCCGCGGATCCGGCGGCACAGCGAGCAGGCCGGCCGCTCCTCCTCCCTACACCGCGTACGTCCCTGCGGGGGTCCCGGCATGCATACTGCCTGCCGACGCTCCGAAGCATACCATGGATATCTACCTCCCGAACAGCGACGAGTGGATCTTCGTGCTGGTGTGCGTCTATTGTAAGAAGATCCAGATCACAGGAGCCGGCAAAGGCAACTTCCCGGTAAAGTGGGCCAACGACCACGGATGGTTCAGAAAGGAAGGAAAAAACTGGAAGAACTCCTGTTCCTGCCCCGATTGCGTCTCGTGGTAGAACACAGGAAAACAACATGCCCTTGCGCGAGTGTGTATTCTTGTCCAATCTCAGCAATTGGCCTGAAAAATTCCTCTTGGCTCCCGATGCAGAGCATTTTTCGCAGCGACCGAAGTGCAAAGCATCTTCTGCGTCATCCCTCCATCACAGCACCCTCCATCACAGCACACCGTCTGAAATTCCGGAGCGGCAGAAAACAAAGGATCGCCCTTTGCTTTTCCCGACTTGAAAGCTACGGTCGTCTTGCGAGGGCGTCCTGTGTGATTAGCGACACGTCCTGCGCTCGACTTCAAAATCGAGACTTTGTTTCGACCTGCAAGGCAGCGAACGACCTTTCGACGTCCTTGACCTGGAAGGACCAGATTCGAGCAGCCACGGCCCCGGGCGAGCTGAGTGTTGTTGCTTGAGAAGCTAGGCCAGGAAGTTGCTTTTCTGGGAACAGGGATCAACTCGAGCGCAGCTCGGTCCGAGACTCGGCGATCCCGAAGACCTGGAGGTTCGTCACACAGGAAGCAGCGTTTTGCAGTCTGGCAGCTAAAACATTCCATCCTGTGTTTTCCCCGTATATCACCTCTACGCCCGAGCCCGTCTCCCCAGGAGATTCGGGTCTCGACCGCTGCATTGAATCTTGCCGGAGCAAATCCGGCCAACGCCGGCCGCCCGGTGCTCGGGTGCCAGAAGTCAGAAGCGTTTGACTGCGCTTCGCCACCTCTCGCGAAAGCTCGACTCTGTGGCCAGGCCAAACTGAAGTTTCGAACGAGAATGGCACGTACCTCTCACTCAACTCTCGCTCGAGCAGATCCTCCCGCCGACGACTGTCCGGTGCTCGGGCTAAAAAATAAAGGAGCAGTGTCGCTGCCGCAGTGTCTGTACGCGTCTCGCAGTGTCTCGGCTCTATATGGCCAGACCAAGCTGAAGTCAAAATAAGTCGCTGCATGTAAAAACGAGAACATCACGTGCACCCGGAGGTGGCAGGTCTCGACAAGCACGCATGTACGGCCAAGAGTGTGTGCAGTGAGTAGACTCCCAGCAGAATTTCATCCACACACATCGCCGCGATGAACTGGCACGTCTGTTTCAAATTGCTGGACGGTGGCCTGTTTGACATCGATCTCTCTGGTCGGCCTGTCAGCCAGGCCACACTTCGGGACTTCGCGACTTGGCTGGAATCGGAACTGCAGAGACGACGCCTGACCCGCGACGGTGGACTCTGGCAGCACGAGGGACACGTCATTGCTCGCGAGGTCGACGTGAGTCGGGCTGACCTCGACGACGGCTCTCTGGAGATCCTGTTGAAGACGCTGGCGAGGGCAAGGGTCGTCGTGGGCATACTGAAGCTTTTCCGAAACGAACTAACCTGTGTCGGCGCCGGCCTTCTGGCGACCTGGATACAATCCGCGGCAATCCCTCTCTTCGAACTTCATCTCACGCACAACCGCATCGAAGCCGCGGGTGCTCTCGAGATCATCCAGGCAGTGGCGGAGAACCGATACTATCCGTCCTGTCGACCCTTTTCGCAGGGTCCGGTGCCCCTGTGGCTCAGACTGCATGACAACGACATCGCCGACGAAGAAAGCTTCACGCTGCGAGCAGAAGCACTGATACAGGCGGCTCGGCCCGGATTGGATCGTCCGGTGTGCTACAAGACCGCCGACTACTGCCGCAGTCATCGCTGCATCATGACACACTGCCCGCTGTTGCACCTTCCCCACCTCCGCTGGAACGACCGGGAAGCCGTGCCGCCTCCTGGAGCGCAGGCGTCTCCAGTACCAAACCCAGCCGAGGCGTCTGTTTCGCCTTCGATTTGGGAGGCAACCACCGAAGCGCCGACGTCGGAAGTACCGGATCCGGCCGATGCTCCTGCTGCGCCGTCGTCCGAGCAAATGCTTCCGCCTCGAGACGGCGCCAGCGTCGGCGACGAGGCTTGGACGTCTCCTCTGCCGCGGTCGCCGGCCGCTTCGGAGTCGATCGCTGCGTTCCCGGCTCTTATATCAGTATCCGAAGAGACACTTCCGCCTCGACTCGGCGGTCACGTCGGCGACGAGGCTCCTGCTTCGAAAGCGACGACCGGCTTCCCGGCTCTTCTATCGCTGTCGCCTTTGTCCTCCGCTTCCTTTCCACCTCCATCGTGGCCATCACAGGCAGCAAGGTGGCTTGACGGCGAGATGGATTCGGAAGCATGATCCGCCACCGTTTCAGACTTGTCCCAGCTGCGGCGTTTGCTCGCAACATGATGCTCGAGCATTTTTGCCAGCACCGCGCTTAGCTTTTGGACTTTTCCTGCGTCCGCGATGGCCGGTGCTTCGTGGTCGGATAAAATGCAGCTGTTGATCGTTCGCTCCAGACTATACATGGTCCTGTGGGAACTGGAGGAGTACGGTTGGCACTGGCTGGTTTCCTATGTGCACGAGCTACCTCTGCCCGAAAAGGAACGACTGCGCCGTGTAGGACAGAAGAACTTCAGAACCCGCGGGAAAAGAATGAACCGCTTCTTGCTGATGGTCACGACACCCGGGGTTGTGCGACGAACTGGAATCGACGACCCTGAGCATCTCGGCGAATTCTGATACGTGTGAAGTCTATACATATATATATATATATAGATATATATATAGAGCTATTAAAAACAATATATATATATATATATATATAAATATCAATATATATATATATATATATATGTCAAACAATATATATATATATATATATATCAATATATATATATATATATATAAATATATATATATATGTATATATATATCTATATAAGTGTACGTAGATATCTATGTTCTTAAACCAACGTGGGTGTGTCTCAATACAATTTACTGACATGTTTCATTGGTTCTTGGTAATGACATCTCAGGAATTGCGACCTCTTGATACAGGCCGCGATGGGGTTAACGCTGGAGCAGGGCGACCACAACTCGGTGGAGATGCTGAAGTGGGTTCTGCGTGCCATGAATTTTTTCATGAAGTACTTTCGTCTCCGGGATGCACTACTCACGTTGTCTTTCTCTCTGGATATATATATATATATATATATATATATCCATACATATATATATATATATATAGATATGCATACATGTGTACATATACCTAAATGTATATATATATATATATATAGTTATATATACATAGTTATATATATGTATATATAACTATCCTTTTGCTTCATGCCGCAAAGCCTTATCCGAGATGACGAGATGCGATCCATGGTCTGTCCCAGCACGAATGCGCTGGAGCAGCTGATACAGGACATGAAGCTACAGGGCGAGAGCGAGGCTTGTTTTTTCGTGCAACTTCGAACCCTTTATTCTACGTATGTATTTCTCTGCGTATGTGTATCTGTTCGGGCTCTAAAGAGACATATATATATCTCTCTCTCTCTCTCTCTCTCTCTCCCACCCTGAGGTTGAGCCGTGACATGGAGACGTACGCTCGAGGCTGCTACTTTACCATCGGAATTATATGGGTGAAAGCACCCGCCCGGAAGGGCCACGGCGCCCGCCGACCCGAATTTGTGGGTAGAGCACCCACCGGTAATGCCGGAGCTCACGGCTTAAGGCCTGAAGCTGTCTGGGATTGCAAGCGAACGAAAGAAAACCACTTCGGAATGGACCTGGAGCCTATATATATATATATATATATAAATAAATATATATATATATATAACAATATATATATATATATATATATATATATATTGTTATTCTTTTGAATTTTTCCAGATCTTGAAAGGAAGCATTTTGCGAGGAGTTCTGTTCCTTGCAAGGGTGCTAGTTTTTGACATGATCTGCTGGGAGTCCAGAGAAATAGTTCTAGTGCTGCTACTAATAGTAGTAAATAGTAGTACTAAAACTAGTACTAGTAGTAGTAATAGTAGTAGCAGTAGGAGTAGTAGCAGTAATAGTAGTAGTACTAGTACAAGAAATAGTAGTAACAACAGCAGTAATAGTGGTATCGCACGGGTCTCGGCCCTCTGGCCAGGCCAAGCCCAGAGCCGAACGTTTCCTACATGCGGAAAAAAACAACAGATTCGCCGATGTCACGTCTGCCTTCAGCTTGCATCAAGTTCCGAAACAGAAACCATTCTAGAGAAAAACTTTGGAGCTCGAGGCTGCAGCGGCTTCTTCTTGGCCGCTTTCTGCGACCTCGAATCCTACAAGTGTCCCTGCTGACATGAAGTCAATCGGTGATACTTTTGCCTGAGCTGAAGCGGCAAGTTGCCTCTTGTCCTGGTCTTGGATGCTGTGCTTGCTGCCACTTACCCGAAGCGGTGCTCGATTCGTCGACTGCCGCTCGCCCCGGAGACGCAGATGTCGGTGCGCTCGACGACAAGCACGGGAGCACGGACTCTTCTCGTCCGAGCCCGTAGACATCACGATGGAGCTCCACCGTGGCGAGGTGCGACAGCCGGACAAGGCGCCTCGTCGCGACGTCCGGAGCGGGGCGACCCCATAGCACGGCCGAATGGGGGTGGCATGTAAAAGTCTCCAGTCCGCATGACTGTCAGAGCACGCTCGTGTTTGCAAAGACGCCGGGGAGGCCGCCACAGAGACACGCTTGCTGCTTGATCGATTGAAACACGGGCATGTCTTGCAAGGTCTAGTCTGTCCGCACAATGCAGCTGGTTGAAGAAGTCGAAAGTTTGCGAAAAGACTGGTGTTGCCTGTTAAACCAAGGAACGACGAACGCCGCGAAGTCATGCTTCTCCCGGAAGGCAAGAGAACTTGGCAAGGCTCGCCACCTTCCACTAGAAACGCTGTTGAGTCTAACACAAGAGAGCAGCTATCCGAGATGAAAAACATGTCCAGGAATCCCCGTTCCACCTCCTGTTCTTCCCGAGGTCCGTTGCATCTTAACAAACCCGAAGTTTGTCGTCCCGGTTCCAGAGACACCACACGGCCAACCGTGGAGGCGGGGAGACCTGTCGCTTCAGCCACTTGCCATGAAGTACCGACTTTGGATGCGACAATCTCCAGGTATGCACTCGCCCGTTGAAACGGCGAACGCACGCAACGGTCGTGCAGGCTCCCAGACCGTTAGTTCCGGCGAGAGATCTCCTGTTCCGACCGCCATCGAAGCGCGGTGTCGTGTTCCTTCGGCCCAAACATCTTGGAGAAGTCCTAGCCCCGGGCTGGCGAAGGTCTCGGCTCTATGGCCAGTCCAAGCCGAAATAGCGCATTAATGCCAGGCGATCGAATGGAAGAGATGAGCGACGGAGAGTACAGCAAACGAGAATCCTTGTCCGACCTTCTGTGTGACGTGAATAGCGCTGCCGTCGAGGTGGATGCTGTGGGTGCTTATCACCATAGTTCCGCCGCTTTGGCCAGCCTGGAGCGCGAGAATCCGGACACGACGAGCGGCCGCCCCCCTCCTGTGGGCTCGACAGACTCCGGCCGGAGTCGTCCTAACGTGCTGTGGGTGGCGGAAACTTATCCTAACGTGCTGTGGGTGGCGGAAACGCTCGCTGAAAAGGTGGAGAAACACCTCAGACGCGAGGAGGAAGTCGAGGCCCGGGACGTTCTTCGTGTGCTGGAATTGGTTCACACAGGCGCAGCATACTTCTGCGGTCGTCCCACCGACTGGCCTTGGTCGTTCCAATCCAAACAGGACTGTGAATTCGTGGCGGAGGCGCTTGACAAATCGCAAGCGGGGCTGACGGTGATATCCGCCGGCCAATTGGAGCCGCGGGACGCAGAATGCTTGCACAAGGCGCGCATGAATCTGCGTGCTGCAATGTCCAGGATCGATCAGCACGTTCTCGGCCGGGAAAGTTCGAAAGCCGCTCTGCCCGGCAAGAAACGCGAGCTTCCTTCAGCGGGCAACCCGGTGCGGACCCCCGGCTGCGATGAGGAGCGGGACAAAAAGCTCCTGCGTCTCGACTGATTCGGAGCCGGCCGGGCCCGCGTGTCACCACCGCCTCGCATGGTGAGGCAAGATTCGGAGCCTTTCCGGCGCAGACTGCCAAGTTTTGAAGTGTGCAAAACTGTTCTACGCCGACATCAGGCGGGGCTCAGATGCAGAAACGTGCGCCGAGGTCCACCAAACCGCGCAGCGCAGAGAGCTAAGCGGCCAGGAACCCCAGTGTGTTTTTGAAGTAATCACCATGCACCAGCCACACGTTTGAGTGCAACCATCGCAGGAGTCTCGGCTCTCTGACCACGCCGAATGCCCTTGCAGCTGCCTAAGACACGACATGAACCTGGGCCCAGTTCCATGCTGGATCCGAAAAAGGGCCGCTGTCTTCGGCAGCTGTGTGCGTCGCATTGCAGAAAACGCTCCATGGAACTTCAGTGTAGATGCAAAGCGGTCCTGCCGAAGACACAGCTTCCAACGCAATGGGGCGCGACGCGGATGTGCTTTGCTAAAAGCCGAGCATATCCGATTCGCCCCACCATTGCACTAAGCTCGCAAGAACGTGGCCAGGCCACGGGCGGAGGGGAGGGAGACTGCGACGGAGGGTGGGCTTGCGAACCTGGGAGGTTTCTCCGTCGCAGCGAGGCCTCGTGGGGTTCCAAGGATGGAACTGCCGAGGTAACAGGCATGCCAGATCTGTGTGCCGTCGTGCTCTTCGCTGTAGCACATACAAATATTTTCTGGACCCGATGCAACAGCCGTCGTGATACGGCTGACGAGGAGATGCCTCCAAAAACTCGGCTGCATTGGGACGCAAAAAATTTCTTCCACCTGATACAAATCCTCGCGAACCTACGTGACCGTGGGCCTGGTCCTGGACGAACCTTGATAGCTATTTGAAATGGCTAGGCTAATCGAACGCAATCAATAAACTACGTTACCAAGGCGTTGGTGCATGCTTCGTCGTACTTTGTACAGCACCGTTCGACACTGTCGCTGAGCGACGGGGGCAACTGCGGCTGTTCTCGATGTTCTCCGAAAAGACGATGTGCCGGACATCCCTCGGCAGACTGCGCAGAAGACGCTGGCTGCCGGACACGTGTACAGACGGCCGTGGTGAAATTGGCAGCCAGAAAGTCTTTGCCGAAAGGTTTTTTTTTCGGGTGCACAACCCACTCCTTCTTCATACGCTGAACGACTCCGAGTTTTCTAAGCGATACTAATAACTTCCTTGTGCTGAGGTTCACCGAACAGCGCCTGAATCCAGCGAACTGGCGTGGTCAGCGCCGGTTGGCAAGAATTTCGAAGAAAGTTGCACGTG